CCCCCGGGAGGTTCACGCCCCAGGCGTCCGCCACGTGCGCCAGCAGCAGCTGCGACAGCCTCCGGTGCGCGCGCTCGTCCCAGTGCGCGCCGTCGCGCAACCGGTGCTGGGCGGCGTGGCGGAAGTGGAAGTGCAGGTCCAGCAGGTCGAAGCCTCGCCGGGCCGCCTCGACGCAGCTGTAGAAGTTGGCCTCGATCACGTCTTCGGGCAGGCGGCCCGAGCTGGCCAGGCCCCTCGGCGGGAGGAAGCCGCCCGACACGACGTCAGCCACGGGCAGGGCCGTGTTCCACACCAGCAGGCAGGACTCGGGCAGCACGCGGTCCATGCGGCGGAACAGGCACTCCAGGTCCTCCCGGTACCTGCTGTGGAAGTGGTGGCCGTGCCTCGAGAGGTCCCAGAGGCACGAGTTGAGGATGACCAGGTCCGGCGCGTGCTTGCCCCGGCGCAGCTTGGACAGCACCTCCTCCAGGTAGGCCGAGTAGGCGCGCGTGAGGAAGTAGAAGCGCACCAGGTGGTGGCCCGTGCAGAACTGGCGCACCTCGCGGTAGTAGATGTCGTTGTGCACGCGGCCCTCCCTGCCGCCCTCCAGCAGCACGTCGCGCTCGAAGCTCAGCTCGCCCTTGGTCTCGAGCTGGCGAGAGGACAGCAGACAGTCCTTCTGCAGCAGGAGCACCAGGTCCTTGTACACTGCGCGCTGGATCGAGTCGCCCATGACCACCACGAACTTGTTGTGGAGCAGCTGGCGGACCTCGGAGGTCCGCAGGGGGGTCATGGTGGGAGGGCAGGAATGGCGGCCTGTTCTTACCTTTTTCGGTCTGGAGAGGTTGCGGGGCCAGGGCTGACGTTCCCGGGAGGGAAGGGCGCAGCGGGCTCCTTCCTGCCTGCGCCGTGCGGAGCGGGGAAGTGGGGTACGTGCTCCTCAGCCGAAGCGCACATCCCCAGGACGCCACCCCTTACCACCGAGGCTCCTGCGCCAGCCCGGGCTCCACCTGGCGGAGTGGAGGTGCGAAAGCCGGCAGCCGCGGCCGCCTTCCGGTGCAGGGAGAGTCCTCCGCCTGGCTGGGGACGCGCATGGCTTCGCAGGCCCCACACGGCCTGCTGTTCTGTCAGCGACTCACTAACGGGGGTCGCCGCCCCGTCTGGATCCCTCTTGTTGCTTCTGAGTCTTCCTTTTCGCATCCAGTCTCTAGCTGAGCGTTTCCTCTTTGTTGGCTTGCTTCTCCTTCCTGGCCCAGTGCGCGCCGTCACCCAGTGTACTTGCGGCATTTGGGGAATGATCGCATTATGGGAGAATGCCTTTCCCAGGGGAAAAACCCAGCCAGGGGACTGACCTGCTGCCAGGTTTCCAGAAATGGTTGGCCGAATACATGGGTCCTATGTAAATACTGTAGGGTTCAACTCTGTTTCTCTTATTTAAACTATTTATTGCCACCTTACAATATAATTACCTGTGCTGGTAAAAATACAGAGAAACTCCAGTGTATTTTTTACCCACTTTCCCCCATGGGTGATGTCCCTGATAACCGCTGTGCCTTGGTTGGTATCCTGAACTAATAAGCCACTTACTGCAAGGATTCTGCCCATTGTCCTTTCCTTGTTTGACCAACTCTTTCCAGTTCATTCCATTACCCCCATGCCTGGCAACCATGAAACCCAAATTTGTCATAACAAGAATTCGATGTAGGTGCTATCTTCGGCAGGGGCGGGGTGGCTTTTTTCCTCAACATTGTGCTCTGAAGATTCATCCAGCATGGCCACTTCAGGAAGTGTGTTTCCTCGTGGTATAAATGTATCTATCAATACTTTGTCCCGTTTTTATTACTGAGCTCTGTTCAGTGGTGTAAGTGTACCACAGTTGGGATAACCAGTTCACCCATTTAAAGAATGGTGGGGTTGTTTATTGTTTTTGGCTGTTATAAATCATGGTATTGCCAGCATTTCTGTACAGGTTTTGCATTTTTTTTTCTGATGGTGGGGTTTGAACCCAGGGCCTTGTGCATGCTAGGCAAGACCACTACTAATGTGTTACATCCCCAGCCCTCTGTATAGATTTTTTGTGAAAACCTAGATTTTCATTTTTCTGGGGTAAGCTCAGAACTGTGGTTGTAGGAGCCTATGATGTGTGTACAGTTAATGCTTAAGAAATGCCCAGACCATTTTTCAGAGTAGTTGCACTGTTTTACATTCTCAGTAGCAATGCATGAGTAATGAGTTTACTTGTCTTGGGGTATACTTAAGGATATCCTGTGTATGCATACCCTGGACTCCTTCGGATCCTTGCTCAAGCAAATCCACCTCTGAGAGTCAGGAAAAAAAAATCTATCTATCTATATTTTATATATATACATTTTTCTATATATATAGATTTTTTTTTCCTGTTTGGTTCCCAGATAGGTACTGGCTCCCATTCTTTAGAATTTGCCCTGTATAACTTGGTTTAACCAGTCTGTCACTGGGTTGTCTTAGGTAGGTCCTTTAGCAGTTGCTTGGGAAACCTAGAAGTGTAGTGTTTGGTCTGTGACTGCAGGCAGGGAGCAGAGCCAGAGAATTAACGCATTTAACTGAGCAGGTAAATGCAGGGTTGCTAGGTTTTATCTTTAGATCTGAAATCTCAGCTCTCATCGCCATTTGCTCTGTGTTTATGAAGGAGAGGAGTAAGGTCTTGCGGTATCCAGCGTGGCTTTGTAATTCATCACTCCGCTCTTCCAGCAAGGGCTCCTCTTGCTTTCTGTAGGTGTTCGGTGTGAGCTTGGAGACTCTGAGGATCTCTTGGATCGTCAGGCCTCCTACGTGTTCCTTACTCCACTTTCTCCAATGATCAGATCTTTTCTGGTTTTGCTCCTCTAGTATTTTCCTAAATTATCATCAGAGTTTTTCTATTTTCCAGCACCACAATTTTTATTTTAAAAAATTACTTTTTCAGTGATTTGAATATAACCAGGAACCTGAAGAACATATGCTTGTGTCCATGCCACTGTCTTGAGTTGAATGTCCTCCATTTAATTTTTTTTTTTACTGTGGAAACAGATATATGATCTTGCACATTCTTTTCCCCTTGCTAAAACTGTTTTCTCTAAGGTGGCTTGGATAGCAGGAAAAGTGAATGATTTCCAAGGCAATTTTCACCTTATTATAGTATATGACTGTATGAATCTACAGTTAGAAAGTTAAAATCATACTGTGTTGCCACGTTGTTAACAGATAATTATTTCTTATTCCAATAGTCTTTTCAAAGGACCCTCCAAGTATTCCCCTGCATTTCAGCTGTGTGCATTGGGGAATGCACCGACAGACACACACACACACACACACACACACACACACTCACAAATAAACTTTCTTTTATATGAGAAACCCTAAATACAAATAATTTAAAGAGCAAAATAAAGGAGAGTTGGAAAGAAACAGGACATAGGGAGGCAGACTTTTTGGAGATGGGGAAGGGGATCTGGAAAATGGGGAGAAAAAAAGGTACAAGGGGGAGAGGAAATCAGAAATGATCAAGATACGATTGTACATATGCATCAGTTCTCCAAAATGAATGTAATTATTAAGTATCCTAAACATATACTAATAAAACTAATCAACAACAAGAAAAGAAATAGTAAAAAAACCTCTGAAGCTATTTGCATTTGTGTATAATTTGGGTCAATACTCCATTGTTTTATATTCCTCTTAGCTTTAAATTACTTGGGGTGTAACACTATTTTATCTTTCTTTTGTTTGGCAGATTTGGTTAGATGTTAGCATTAAAATACCTTGACTCCTCCTATGCCTTGAAATGCAAATTTCCAATTGAATAATAAGATTTAAATTTATTTATTAAATGAAAAGCATGACATAGATGAAGTTTAAAAACTCTCTTGAGATGGGCAGAAGATATAGATAAATAAATGTGTCCCCTTTACTTTGAAGGAATAATCTGAAATTATAAAACCAACCTGAATCCAACTATTGCTAAGCATTGGTGGGGAGAGAGCAGAGTAGTGTATTTGAGATGGATGAAGATATCTACATGTAGATCCAAATAAAATAAATATTAGGCACATCCACTTTTAAATTCCACCACGGTAATACTTTCACTAAATTCTTTGGATTTAGGAGTTGACATTACTCTAGGATTAAGAGTGAAAAACTACACTATACAGAGCATAATTAACATAAGAAAAATAAGGGCCTCAGGAAAAGACCAGAATTGAAGATTTAAAGAAGCCTTTTCTGACCATCATATCCATGACTTTTCCCTCTCTTTACACTCAGTTTCTATACTCTGTTTTATTTTACTTCTCAACCTTAATTAGTTATTTATTATCACTTATGCCATCAGATTTAAGCTCTATGGGAAAATGCCTTGTTTTTCTTACTGATATATCCACAGTACCTAAGACTATGTTGGGTACATAGCTGGTTCCCAATAAGTGCTTGTAGAATGAAAGGTGAACCAAGGAAATTCATCCTTGGAAGAGATCTTTCTAAACTATTCTAAAACCCATTCAATTCTTGAATTGCCTAAATAACATGCTACTAATGAGTCATTCAGCCCATGTTTTTTTTCTTCATTACCATTTAGTTTGGAAAAACTCTGCTTTCCAGGGCAATCTATTTTGTCCCCAGAAAATAGGACCATTGCAAATCTCTCACTGATTTTTTTTGAGGACTGTATTTTATTCCTTGAGATATTAGACGGCCATGATAATTATTCTTCCATATAGCAGTTTTTAATATGTATGGATACAAGCCAAGTGTGGTAGCACGCACATGTAGTCCTAAAATTCAGGGAGGATTGGACTTGGGGAAGAAGGATTGTAAGTTATAGCCCAGCCTAAGATGCTAAATTAGCAATTTAGTGATGCTGAGATGAAAATAAAAAGTAAAAGATAAAAAATGGGCTGAAAATACAGCTCAGTGTGAAGGTCCTGGATTCTGTTCCTAGCACTGCAGTATATACATACATATATGTATATATTTCTCTAGTCTCTTGAATAATGTTTTTTATACTGACCACAGATTGTTCAATTATTATTACTAAGCCGTGAAGGTGCCAGTTCTATTCTGTTAGACTATTGCTGTATGGGGGCTGGGGATTTAGCTTAGCGGCACAGCGCCTGCCTGGCAAGTGCGAGGTCATGAGTTCAGTTCCCAGTACCGGAAAAAGAAAAAGAATATTACTGTATGTTCAAATAGGCAAAATGACAGTAAGGGAGATACTTCACAATGTCACTGTGGCCCAAACAAATTTCTTTGTACAATTATGAAGTAGACCCCTCTAGACTTCTTTGAAAGGAAGAGGGGTATTAGATACTCACAGGTATGTACTTTTATTACCTTTCTAGAGTCCTCTATCCTGGTGGAATCAGCTCCACTCCTGATGGGAAGGGACAAGAGTTGCTTCACCTACTCACAGGTATCTTTGATCTCATGTGTGTCCCTTATCTGCCTTTCATTTTTGAGCAATAATTTTAATACCTTCATTTTCAAGTTGTCCTTTGCATCGGTTCTTGTAGCCAGACCAACTTTTGTAGTTGTTCTTAATTCCCGAGTGCCTTCTTTATTTCTCATTACTCTTCTCAGAATGCATTGCAGGTCATATATGGCATTCAAAATAAACCACATTTTCCAGCTATAGTTTGACCAGCCCAGTCCACATTTGGATTATCACCTCCTTTGTTAAATTAATGCTGCTTAAACCCTAATCTGCTTTTTTGGAAAATCTACCACAATCATGACTCACAATTGACTATCTTCCACTAAACTTGTCTGAGTCATTTTAATACCTGATAAATATTCCCTGCCCTAGACCTGTGCCTCTGGCTTTTACATTTGAGAGAAAATATAAAGACTTGTTATTGTTAGATTTATTCTATTGTTCAAGTTGGCTAAAATCTTTTAATTCCATTGCTATCACTTGTCAAG